TTCTTTCAGCTGGGCTTCAAAGTTATGAGGTAGATTTCCACACCTCTTACCGTGCAGACACGGCCACGCTCTTTGTTTTCTTCTCATTTTCCATATGATCTGATATATCCCCCTTGTCGGGGTGGGGAAAAAAAAAAATCTCTATAATCCAAATTAAATAAATTAATATGAGCAAAATTATAATAATCATGCTATATTATTTAAACAATTAATGTTTACACCAAATTACACGCTGTTCAAACGTTATTTAAAACGTAAAATTTATTATTTTATAAAATATAACAAGTTGACATTAACCACTTGTAAAGTTAAATTTAACAAATTTATAGTTTAACTCCCTACTATTATAATATAAAGTTAAAAGTGATTAAATTGAATTTCGTTTTAATACTTTATTATATTTGTAATGAATTTAACAATTAAATTTTTATGGTTTTAAGTGATTTTAACGAGTTAATATTTATGATTAATTAATTAAAAAATTATATATAAGAAATAATATTTTTGTTAGTAAAAAATAATATTTAATTTTTTATATTTTTATCTTATCTGAAAGTAATATTATAATATTAATTTTATTTTATTTTTAAAATTTATTATATATTATAATTAAACATTATCAATACGTAATGTTTGATATTAATGATTATAAAACCAAATACATGTTTTCTTTTACAAATAACTTATATCTAGATAAATTAAAATATTAATTATCACAATAGTTATTTTACTTATTATCAGAAATTGTAAAATCAAATATATTTTATATATTAATAATTCTAACTTTTTCATACGAATAAATAAAAATATTAAAAAAATATGTGTAATTTATATATTAATAATTATAAATGTCAACATATTTTTTTATCTAAATACATAAAAATACTCAACAAATTCTAAAGAATTAATCACAACAATTTGTTTTAAATACTTTTGTAACGTGTTATTGTATTTAATCCATATACTAATAATTATAATTTTAAATATACATTATTGCACATAAATATAGATGTTTATACTAAATAAACATATATGTTATTGCATATAAATAGATGATAATGATAAATAAATATAAAATAGTAACATTTTCTCGTATAAATGACAGTTGTGTAAATTAAAAAAAAAAATCAATTGAATTCTAGTTGCTATTAAATATTAATTTGCACCTTAATATTATCGTACATAGGTTAGTGATAATAAATCTAAGTATACATTTTTATAAATAAATGACAATATTATATCAATTAAAAACTCTTATTTTTTTTTTTTTACGAAACTATAATTTATTGCCGACATAGGTTCGGTAAGAGTAACTTCCAAGTTTATATATCTATATATAATATTTGAATAAATAAAGTTTGAGAATGAATATTATTGAATGTGCTGTGAGCGTAGACGGCAAGACCACATGTCGAGACGGTACAATATATGACAAATATATTATACATTTGAAATGTACAAACATATTTTATATCCCAACACTTGTGCCTACACATTTGAGGGGGTACTTTTGTCGTTTAATTTTTGTTCCCACAAATAATTATATTGTTTGAAATTCTGAGCACCAACTAATCTGAAGTCCCTCCCCAACGACTAGTCTGTATATTTTTGGATATTCACATTCTCTAAAACAATATTTTAAAAATATATTTTTTTCAATTTAAAAATTATAAAATATATTATCATTTTATAAGTGTATTAAAAATTAACAGAAATCGATCCATAAAAATATAAGTTATGATTTGTGATTGGTATTTATACAATATTAAAACTTTCAATGAACTACTTCATAATTTTCAAGTTGAACAAGTATGGTTCTTCCCTATTAAGATGTATTATTTAACCTAAATTGAGGTTATTTGCTAAAAGCTACAGTAAATAAATGTTTACTTAGTAAACTTGATTTTATAAAAAATGACGAGAATGTAAATTGACGATTATTTATACGTTGGAGATATTGTTTTTTATTTTGTGACAAATTTATTTATAAAGCACATACTGAAGCTGGTGAAATCAAATGACATTATTTCAATTTTACTACAGGTACATTAAAGAAATGATAAAAAAGATTGTATTTACACGAAAATTTGGAGTTCATATAATAATGCATAACTATTTAATAGAGAGATTAATCGCAAATACTAGTTTGGTTCATCATTACTGAAATAATTATTTATTTCTTTACATCTACCGCGCGATGCATACAGTTATTGATAGACAAAAGAATCATGATGTGCACTTTTGTGTACTAACTAAAGTCTTACGTTTGTTTGACGGAGATCATGTTAGCATTGGAACCGTAGCAGGTAAACTCGAAGAAGAAAAAAAAACATAATTTTGGTTTGCTCACATGACAATTAGGGTAAAGCAGGGTCAGAAACAACAAATCTCTATATGATAAATAGATCCATTTTGCAAGTTCGTTATTACGGGGTAGTTCCTACAAAGGATCGGACAAATTTATATTTAAGTTATTGTTTTGAATTTTCTTAAATGTCATTCAATTTCGAATTTGAGATTAAAAAATAAACCAAACAGGATTTATGATGCAATCAACCAGAAACAAGACAGGGGCCCACAAAATATCCAGGGCTATAATATAAAAATATATTGTGGTCCTGGGCTGGATGCCTATTGGGGCTTCTTTTTCAATGCGGGTCTAGTGATCTGGAGACTTTGGGTCCAAATAATTCAACATGGGCTGCTTGAAGTTAATACATTTCATTACGAGCTTGGAAGTATATATCTATACATATGTGATGCATTTTTGGACTTCCTTCTTTTTATTTATTTTTGGGCTCCCAACTTTAGATGAACCTAACATTGTTACCGTTGGAATATGTATATATATATATACATATTTCAATTTGTATTTTTTGAAGGCACAATTTCTAAATTCAATCTTGAAGAAAATAATGTACGATTGTTGGATTTATAAGATTATTGTTAAATTGCGATGACCTTTAAAATAGTAAAAAAGTTTATAATTGATCAATGAAAAATCTCATGGCATAGTCTATTAATTACCAAAGATTCCCCTTCTATAAAAAGACATTTAAAGATTTTTTTTTTTTATAATTCTATTTTTTTTAATACTAAAATTTATTATAATGTGATTCTATATATTAACTATTTTTTATTATCTAAATTTTACATGTTTAAGAATATCAAGTTGTATTTTGATTATGTGACAATTATGTTATGAAATTTTAGTAACGTAAAAATTATATATTATTTTTTGAGAATGTTTTGACAAAATATATTATTTGAGCCATTTGATTGAAAATAAATTAAGAAATTAAATAATTGACTCTAAAATTTTAGATATGTAATAATTACATTGTCAAATTTCAATAACATTAGCTTTTATATAATATTTTCGTCAAATATATATTGACGAAATATGTTAATTGAAAATAATCTTAAAAAAAATTAAATCCCTCACTTTAAAAAACTTTTGATTGAAACATGTTAAAAGTAGTGGAGCTCAGTGTATTTTCTGGTTCATTTAAGTAGCCTCCTCTTTCGTCTGCTTTCGCGCTAGTTGTCTTCTCGGCGGATCATTTTCGTCTCCAATCCGACAGAGTATTGCTCTCTCTCTCTCTCTTTCTCTCCCTGTTCTCCCTCCTCCGTAGACACACAATACACACACATTCTCTTCTAATACCTCTCTGTCTCTGACTGGAGTTAATTCATGGCACGCGCGCACACACACTGGAGGGGTGCGATAGAGCTTTGAATCTGCTGACTTGATCACGGCTAATGCACGGATGTTTGATCTTCTTCTTAAGCTAGAGATTATTGAATTCTAGTATTTCAGAGCGTAGTTCGGGAGGCTTGGTTGTTTCTGTAATTTTCTGCTTATTACTTCTTTTTTGTTTTTTGTTTTTTTTTGTTTTTTTAGACGTACTTCCTATTTTACTAGAAGCGAGTAGTTGATTTCTAGTCGCTAATTCTTTCTGCCCTAAAAATTCTTCTTTTGTTTCTGGTGCTAGGGCTTATACCTTATCGGCATTAATATGAGAATGTTATTTGTGCTCTGAATCTAAGTCACACGGTCTTCGCTTTGATCTGCTTCCTGTTTGTTTGTTTATTTGGTGGTTTTCTACGATACAGATTACTGGTCCATGTGTATGATAAACTCTTCTACTGGATACTACTTATTATATTTAAACTTGTGACTCCATCTAAAATGTTGTCATCTTAGTTGAAATAAGTAGGAGCGACGTAATTTCAGAATATATATATAATAATTACATTTATACATGTATTTTGGATACTTTTATGCTCACCTGTATTATACACTAAGCTGGTGTGAACATTCAAATCCTTGTTTAAAATTCTGTAAGTGACTTGTAGGAAACCAGGTAACCATAGCTTGATTTATGTGCACTGTGTGATTCATCAACAGCAGATTTTGATATCTTTATTTACTGAATTCAATGAAAAGTCGGCTTAGACTGTATCCTTTGTTGTTAGTGTCGTATCCTCTTGAGAAAGAGTCATTGATGTATGAGAAATTCCTGTATGTTTATGCTGACATAGATGTCCTTCAAATTTTCAATTTTTTGTTTTAAGGAATTAAACTGCTTGTTATGTATATTGCATGTCATGTGTTTGAAGTTATTGTAAAGTGTAGTCTGATTGTTGAGACTGATCTCCATAATGTCTTGAGCTTCATTTGTTAATTAAGTGAAGTTGGTTACTCAGGTGATATTAACAGTCAAGTTTAACTACTTCCATGAATTGAACATGCATGTTGCGTGAAGATTCTTTCATGTAGTTCCTGATTAATCAATATCTTGATATTTTTATTCCCACAATATTTTTGCTCTAAATGCACCATGAGATTACAATATTTATGAAGCTCTCTCTTGTATGGATGACAGAATGGTGGCAGGAACAAAAACCCAGTCGGTTATGCTCAACACAAATCTACCTTCTTTTCCAAACAAGGAGGCTGATAATTTAACTGCTAGAAATCTGGGGAAGAGTCAACTTGGCGGTGTCATATTTGGTTGCAAGAACAACATCATCAAAGAATGTTTGTCCAAACAACTTTTTGGTCAGTCTTTGATATTTTAATTGCACATTGGGAAATTATTTTTGGATTTTTTTCTTTATTTCTTTGGTTTTTGGTTTCTTGTTTTTTTTCTTTATCCATAAATAAAATGGCTCTTATTGGACATGATTTCTTGAGATAATAGGGATCTCTATTTGTAGATAATGTTTGTTAGTGTCTACTGCTATGTGTTCTGGTGCATTAATCCCAAAATTCATTCTCTCAGAAAAATTCTTTCCATCTTCAATTAAAACTGCTATGTGTTCTGGTGCATTAATTCAAAAATTCATTCTCTCAGGAAAAATTCTTTCCATCTAAAAAAATTTACCTGTTAGGCTTTAGTAGCACGAGTTAAGAATATCTTTTCATGAAGTTCTATCTTACATTCCATGTGCTCATGAGATTTATCCTTGAAACTTTTAACAGGTTTACCCCATTCACACTTTTCATATGTAAGGAACATTTATCCTGGATTGCCATTGTTTCTGTTCAACTACAGTAACCGGAAACTCCTTGGAGTATTTGAAGCTGCTAGTTTTGGTGACTTGAACATTAATCCATATGCATGGACCAGTGGTTCAGAGAGAACTTTGTACCCTGCGCAGGTACTTTATTCCTTTTAGTGTCATAGCAACTGTATGCATGCTTTTTGGCTATATCAGTAATTTTGGCTTTGTGGGCAAGAGAAAGCGTTCAAGCTGATAATATGATTTTTTTCTGAATTAAGGTTCAGATTCGTGTCCGGCTGCAGTGCGAACCACTCTCTGAAGGACAGTTTAAACCAATAATCAAGGACAACTACTATGGACCTAAATATTTTTGGTTTGAGTTGGATCATGCTCAAGCAAACAAGTTGATGTCCTTATTTGCATCTTTCGCAGTTGCACCAAGTTCTCTTGTGCCTCAGGATACCAAAACAGAGTGGAGAAATATATTCAAGGACTTTTCTTCTAGTGATACAGAAAATAGAGGTGAAGCTTTAAAGTCTCCTTCTTTAGAGGTTGTTCAGTCTGCTTGTCTGAGTGAGAAATTAGATTTTAGAGATGTGGCTCCTTATGCAGATGGACTTAAAGAGGAAGTTAAAAAGTTTGGGCAGCTTGCTTCAGAGGTTGAGCATCCTCTTCATTCAAGCAGGAAATCGGATTCTATGTATCTTGCTTCTTCTATTAATGGAGATAACTGTCTGCTGGAAACTCATCTTGAGGCAAATGTAGTTGGACAGAAGCAGAAGGATCTTATGCTCAAGAAACTAAAAGAACTGGCTAATAAAAGGGAGCATAAAGAATTGTATATGGTGAATGACGTAGAAGACTCCAGGTTTATTAATCAAATGAAATCAGAGAACAGGGATATTCTAGAGAAGCAAATAGTTTCAGAGGGAAAAGATGAAGAGAGTCCTGATTCCTCATTACATTACCAGGCTGTCATAGTTCAGGTAGATTAAGATTTCCATAGCTCCAGTGCTCATTGATCCTTTTAACTTCTGATCACATACAAATATGAGCTGTCATTTATTTTCTATGTTCAATGCAGTTGATTAATGGGATGGAAGAGCTTAAGGCATTTAAAACTGAACAAACTCACAAAATAGTTCATTTGGAGCAGAAGCTGGTATAACTTCCATTCTAAATATCTTTGTATGCAACTTTCACCAAGTTCTTTGATGATCCCTTTTTTAAATTTATATATCTGAAAGCTGAATGTATACTTTATTGCTTGCTGTCACATAGATATTGAACAGTGTATTTTGATGATCATTTGAAGGAACAAAACTTCCAGAGATGGGGCATTTAGGAAAATGGTCTAATTACGTCAACTGAGCATGAATTGGACGTGGGATTTTATGAAAAAATTATTTGTGGTACTATGTTATCTTCATTTCTGAGATTTTCTGTGATGCTGCTGTTTTCAAAGATGGATAATTGAAACTAGATTATTTCTAGATTTCTTATTTGAATCTATGGTTTGGTTCCATCTAAAACTCTTATCCATGGGTTGTTTACATTTAAAAGACTTTTGGTGCTGTTGGCTCCGAAGTAAGGCTTTGTCTGGAGCTTGTTTTAGGTGAATGATGCACAGTCCATCCAGCTGCATCATTCATCACTATTAGAAATTTACCATCTACCTTGACTTCCAGGTTGAAGCCCAAACAGAAATTCAGAGATTGAAAACTCGTTGTACCATGCTGGAATTTACATCAAAATCCTCTGCTGAATGTGTTAATGAGAACACTTCTGAACCCCTTGATGAGTCACGTTTGGATCCTACTGAGTCGATATTTTTAGTGGGAGGATATGATGGTGAATCATGGTTAGCTGTATTGGATTCGTATTTTCCCTCGAAGGACGTTATAAAATCCTACATGCCAATGAGCTGTGCTCGCTCATATACAGCAGTTACACAGATGAATGGTGAATTTTATGTACTTGGTGGTGGAAGTGGTCTTCTGTGGTACGACACAGGTATTTTGCACTTACTTTTTTTCTTTTGCTGGTTATAATGTTCTTCATTTTGTCAGCTTATAAATTACATTTTCTACATTCTGTGAAGTCGAGTCATACGACCCAACTAATAACAAGTGGACCCGTCGCCCTTCCTTGAAGGGGCAAAAGGGAAGTTTAGCTGCTGCAATTTCAAATAACAAAATATTTGCAATTGGTGGTGGAAATGGGGTTGAATGCTTTTCAGAAGTCGAAATGCTTGATTTAGATGTTGGAGATTGGGTACCTGCACGGTCTATGTCACAAAAGGTATAGCAAATTATCTCTTTTACATGCTGCTGCATTCATGATTTTTAAGAATGCACGGTGGCATCTATCTGTTCTTCTCTTTCTAGTTATAATACATGGGAACTTAACTGAGTTTATTGTTGATTATCCTGGTATTTTTTGTGTGGTTCATTTAGTATAATTTTCCAGTTGAGGGAAAAAAATCATAAGTTTGCAAGTGAGCAAAATTGAAATAGACAAATAAGCTCTAATGTTTTGCTTCATGCACAATTTCTGAATTATTCCCATAAAATTGTTATTTTGTGTAGATTACGATGTAACCTCTATAACTGAATATAAAACACTTGGTATTTGGAGTTTAGTATCTTGTATGGATCTCAAAATTGGGTTATAGTACATAGAATAGTACCTATTAAAAAAAGGCATATTCTAACATATTAGATGTATCCACTATATATACAGTTTGCAAATCCTCCCCAGCTATTAATGAGTTTTCTGATGAAAAAGTTTCTAACTCATGAGCTATAAGTAGTTCATTTTGCAATGAGCAGTTTGATCTTTGGAGATGTGAGATTTTAATCTGCATAAAAAAAGAGAGAAAATCTCTGCATTAGTTGGTATATTACAGTTTTACCTTTTTGTTTTGACATTTTGCTACACGATCTTGGTGGTCTTTTTTTTTTTTGTTTACCGTACAGTGCTATGTATTCTTTTTTATCATTCTCCATTCTGCTTTGTGTTCAACCTTTAACTTTTATGTGTTTGCATTTAGCGACTCAGACATGTGCAGATATTCTCTAAAAGATTATTGATTTTATCTAAAATTATAAAAAAAAAAAAACGAATAACTGGGTATTGAGTCCACGGGGACTGAATTACAACAGAACCTACATTGGTGAAACTGTACTTTCCCTTTGTTTATTAAAGGGAATGTGATTTGTAATATCAAAGTGAGGACCATCAACTCAATGGAATGTGTAACGTGCTTTAGATCTTAAAAGGAAAAGGAAATGACTTGCTTTAGAAATATGTAAGCTGTTAGCATGTGATATTAAAAATAAGGAAGACTACTATGAACAAATACTTTATCTGTGTCGCCGGAATTTTGATAATGGAAAATAAACTTTTTAGCAATTAGTAAC